TCAAAATTTGTTATGTTGTATGCGTGCGTGGGTGAAATTATTATGTTGTATATGTGGGTTATGAATATTCAGTGAAAATAATAATAATTAAATGAAATTTGGCCAAATGTGTAATTATCCGGAAATATGTTAATTTATGTAATTATGCACATTTTAATTATGCCAATTCGAGAGGTAATCGTATTAATTATGCGAGTGGGTGTAATTATGATAATGCAAGTCGTTATGATAACCAGACCTCGCCTCGGTGATGAGGGTGGGTTATCGATCGGAATAAGGCAATTAATCGTATGCAGTTATGCAGGTGTGGTGTAAGTATGCAAGATTAACTTAGATTAACTCGGCATCGTTGTCTAGGTTCGTCTCATTCTCGCTTTAACATTCCCAGAGTGTGTATTCGTGGTTATATTTTAGGTCCCCGGTTCAACCCGTTATCGCTTTAACATTTACTGAGTATGTATTAGTGTGTTTATTAAGGTCACCAAGTTCAGATCTCAACGCAGAAGCAGATCTTATGCATAGATTTCAGGAAAGAATCACACAACCACTTCTGTATTGATCAATTTATTACTAATTCAACCTTAACTATGATATAGTATGCGAACTCTCAATCCCGGAACGTCAACACGGCATCAATACAGTATCATCAACGATTGTCTGATTTCACCTTGACAACGGCACATGGATCCCGCATAACGTGATGGTTGTTAGTGAGAGAGAGAGTCGTTAAAATATGCAAATACTATGCTAAGAAAACCTTAACGTTAATGAATGATTATACTCAATATTGTTCACGCAGTACCGCACTCCTTATTGATCATACGCAACCCTTATCACGTTGTTAGCACCTTGGGTCACGGGACAGTTGAATATTCTGTAGAGGATGCGAGTACGTGCGGCGATTATGACTGATACTTGAAAGATTATACGGCGATAAAAAAAACACAATCAAAAACAGTTATTATTCTTAAAGGCACCAATCTCAACAGATACATCGGCAGGTTATCTGACAACAGAACGGCTCGGAGTAAGGGCCTGCGACGGTGCTCCTTTTCCGAAGATCGTTATCTTATACCAAGTTTACTAATTGGGGACCAGATCACCTGATAAGGATCCGGTGGGCCACCACTCCCCACGTGAGCGTGGCTCGGCGGAAGGAGGTGCCAAGAATCAGTTCGTATTGATGGATCTGTTGGGAATTTATGCGATTAGGAGTACAGCCCACTAAATATTAAAGATAAAAATTACGAATACTTTTATAAACGACGGATGGCCATCACTCGGTCTCGTTGTGATGCCTTCCCAGCCACAGATGGCTTATGGGTTCGAGTGTGTTTGAGTGGTAAGAGTTGTCTTGAATAGTCAGTGTTCGGAGTCGATTCTTTATGTCAAACAGACGCCTGGTGGTCGTGTGGTGAGGGGGCGGTGCGCGTCATACGTATCAGTCGCTCCCCTGTCACCGTGGTGAACTGGTTCGGATGCCCGTTGATACGCTGTCGCAGTTCGGAACCCGGTCGGTAGGTGGCGCCCACAACTCGCTCGCAGCGTGCAGTGTTGTCGTCGACCAGGGTGTGCACGGAGCCTCGTCGCCAAACCGCGACCCTCACCACTCCGGCGGCAGCAGAGACCTCCGACTCGGCAGAGGTTGACCCACGCAGGCCGAGTTGAGCTGTCAAGCGGGTCTTGCCCGCCTGCAGAGGAGATGGGGAGCCGCTTGAGTCGAGCCCCGAGAGCCGGCTTTGGTAAGCCGATCGAACTCGGCTGAGTCCCAGACGAGCTGAAGATGAGTCGAGCCGACCCGCTGGTCGCAGCTCGCTCCTGAGCCGACCCTCCCGGTCGAGCTCGCTCCTGGGTCGACCCGCTGGTCGCCCTCGCTCCTGAGTCGACCCGCTGGTCGCACTCGCTCCTGAGTCGACCCGCTGGTCGCACTCGCTCCTGAGTCGACCCGCTGGTCGCACTCCCCACGTGAGCCGACCCGCTGGTCGCACTAGTTTCCAATGCTCAGGAACCTTTCCTTTATGCCGAAAAATCCCCCTGGATCCCGCCCACAAGGCGGGGCTTCTTTCGATTTTTGCTGTGTCAGGATCTGTCCGTAGGCAGGTGTGTCCATGTGTGTGTCCGTACGTCCGTATGTCCTTGTGTGCATCACTCACGGTATATTCCGTTGTCACACTCCCTCCATAAAACCCACGAGCAAACAATCAGATGTTACAAATTGCCTCGAAGTCGTATCTCTGTCTGGGTGCAATATTATCTCTTGTCTGGCCTTCTTCATGAACCCAAAACACAGACGTTACAAATCGTCTCATAGGCGTCTTTGTTCGTGTTGCACAACCTGGAGGGAGGGGCAACACTCTCTCCGACCCGGCGCACAAAGAAATGGTTAAAAAGTTTTAAGTTAACATTTGTCCCTTACTATTTCACAGTTATGATTCTGTATGTAACCCAAGGTCTGTCGTTTCCCATCGTGGTGCTTGACTCAAGTGGAGGTGTTTCCCCGAGCGTATACACACTCCTATCCCGCGCTGCGGGGATACAAAGACGGCCGGGATCTCCCTTTCTCTCCGACCTTGGGTTTAACATCGTTTTTTTTTTATTATGTATTTATATTCGACCTGGTGGTGATTCATCCCGTTATCCTGGCTTTTCCATAAGTTTTACTTTTGTCTTTTCATGCATATGCTTATTACTATTAATTTATTTCCGATATCTTAGGTTAAGGGGTAAGTTTCTTGATCCTAGGAATTCGTATTCCTTGGTGTCTGCATGGTTATATAAGCGGAATATAGTTTACGGTGAATAGCGTTAACATTGATGTTATGTACGATATTATGTATTGTGATGTCTTTAACTTAACTTGTTTGTCAGGGCTTTACTGACGCGAAGTTGCATTCCATAGCCCCGCAGTCTTTGCCCCACCCTATCTCTGCTCGCCGTGGTTGTTGCTGTCCAGCTGACGCCGTTAACTCAAGGCCTCATTAATTTCCGTCACTCCTTGTATGTGAGGGCGGTTGAACCTTGGAGTCAGTTCTGGTTTTTGTCTGCCTGCTTCTTCTTGTGTCCCCTGACCCCGGGAGTTATTATTTCTACTTTTATGGCCTGTCGAAGCCCGACTCGCTGTTGCTGGGCTGGTGTCGTTCCCGGCTTTTTGCTTACGTTTGCAGTTCGCCGTGCTCTTAATTTCCTTCCCTCTTCAACCTTATATCGACTATTCGCTCCTGTCTGGGTGCGATTCAATTCTGACTTAGGAAGGTTCTGATTGTCATATGCTTCGGGTCGAGTTGTATAGAAAGTATTAAAGTATGGAAATAACATTTCATATTGACTTAATGATGGTGATGGTTCAGTAGGCGTAACCTGTGGCCTGGTTTAATTGGAGTGGGTGTGAATATCAATAACTTTAGCCTACCCTGTTGTTAAATTCCGACTTTAACGTTACTTTAATAGCAATACAGAATAATTGAGCTTTTTGTCTTAACTAGGCGAACGCGAACTTCTGGTGACCCCCGCAGCCTTGTTGTTCAGCTGGGTCTGCCTCCTTGAGAGATATACACCACTCTTATTCTCGTCTCACTGTGGCCATCCAACCTTCTGCTCTGGGAGTGTTATTCTTAATTTCAGGTCAAAGGCCCCCTCACGTTCAGACGTGCAGGGTTGTTTAAATCAGCTCCCTCCCCTGTGCACGTGTTCCAACTAGCTCGGAATCCCTAAACACACAATCAGTGATGATTCCTGGCTTTCTGTGGTTGTGATTTAGACAAAGGCGCCTCTGCTTTCTTCCATTGCCTTTGAGTCGACACTGCCCTATTATTTGCCCATGTGCTGAGGTCATAGAATTCGTTTTGACTTCAGTAATATTAACATTCAGTATTGGATTAGCAAATGGGCAATGGTTCATTGATGTAGCTCGCAGCCTGGTCTCCAATTTGAGCGAGCGCGAGGATCGATACTTTAGCCTACTCTGTTGTTGAATTTCGAATTTTGACGTTACTTTAAAACCATGCAGGATGGTTGGGCTTTTTGCCTTAACTATGTCTGGCTGACACTCCCACTGTCTCTGCCGCCTGCACGGGTGACATGTGCCCGTTCATCAGGCCTTATCTTTCCTTGAAGCAAGGTTGCAAATTCTGCCATCCTAGCCCTCCTCCAGTTCATTACTTATCAACACCTGGTGTTTTGCAGTTTGCTGCGCTTTGGTGTGTTTCATTCATTAAAAAAACAAGTAAAAAGATAATATATAAAAATATCATTAAATATTATTAATCTCAATTTTGGAAGAAGGGTTAGTATACAACATTTGACACAGAAGAGAAAAAAATAAAGGGGGCTCAACATGACAATGGCGAGGTAAGAATGACCTTACATTGACACGCACGTCAAACAGGCAGCCCAAAAATGTAACAAAAGAATGATATTCAATAACGAGTAATGCCTAAAGAATGAGGGAAATATGAAAAAGTGGTCAGGCATTCAAAACTATTTACAGAGAAGGGAATTTCCTTGACAGGGTGACCAAGGGAGGATGAGAGAGAGCAAGGTAGAACTAGTTTATTATATTTTTTTACCAGGTAAGGCCCACTGGACTATATAGCTCTGAGATGAAAAAATCGAGAACAAGTCCAGGCGCATAACTTTTCTATCATCCAAAGTTATGCAATAACTTCCCAGCTATGGCTATCATAAGTGGAAAGCAATATTTTGTTAATCTCGATTAAAATTAATTTCTTTAGAAATGCTTTTTGTGTTTGGTTTGTTGTCCTTCCCCCGCACTTCCAATAAGCACGGTTGGCTACATTCATACATACAGAGGTAGAGTACATAGTGCGTTCACATCACAACTACTACCACTAGAGGCGATACCATTCGCCAAAAAGTTTATACCGTCTACAAAAAACCTAAAAACCAGTGGCGATCCATCAATTGTGACGATTCATACAATTGGAGAAAGGTGGAATGAATCATTTCACGGGCATAAAACATATTCACGGATCGTCACGCACCCCTCGTGAGCGCCAGGGTCCACGCGGGGTCCTTGCCAAGGCTGGAAGCTCCGGACCTCTTCTGCAGCTTGGACCCCTGCTCAGCATCGTCCCCCTCCTCCTCCTCCTCCCCCGCGTCGTGAAGGGGGTCCCCGTGCCGGCTCCGGGCTTGGTTTGCACGCACGCGGCTCGCGAATGTGCTCTTGTCCTGCACGCGAAGCCCGCGGGCGTTCTCGCGTTCCTGCACGCCATGAGTTCACGCAGCCGAGATCGGAGCAGGGTTGTGTTTAGAGACGGGGGTTAAGGGGCAGGGTTAGATTTATGGAGAGGCTTATGGGCAGGTTGAGGTTTTTAGAGATAGGGTTCGGGGCAGGGTTAGGTTTAGAGATAGAATTGGGGACAAGGTTTAGGGCTAGAGACAGGGTTAGGGGCAGAGTTAGGGTGAGAGATTGGGTTAGGAGCGGAGTTCGGTTTAGAGATAGAGTTAGGGACAGAGACAAAGTTATGGTTAGAGACAGGGTTCGAATTACAGAGAGGGTCCGGGTTAAAAACAAGGTTAGAGACAGGTTTAGAGATAGGTTAGATTTACCAAACACCCCACCACCCTCCAGCTCCACAAATCCATGCTGACCAACAACCCCTTTGACCAAAACGGCACCAGGAGTCTATCATGCAGTAATACATGATTCTGGTTATTCACAGTTATGGTTAGAGGAAGGGTTAGCTTTAGGCACGCGGTTAAGGTTATGGAAAAGTTGAAATTTGGAAACAAAACTAAACAGGTTTAGAGTTAGGGGGAGATTTAAGGACAGGTCTAAGAATAGAGACGTGCACAGGGTTAAAGACGCGGGGTAGAATGTATCGCGAGGCGAGATGTCCGGTGACTATCGATAGAGTCACGGGCAGATGGCGCAGGACGAAACAGGAGCAAAGAGAATGCGTGAGGCATGACGAGTCATTGAATGAGCCTAACCACAGCATGTGGGAGACCTTCATCTAGCAGTGGCTTGATTACATGTGACCGTGATGGCCGATGAGGGTGCCGATGGCCGTGGCGTTCACGTGAGCTCTGTTTCTGATGACGGATAACAAACCGTTGAATGGGCAGTTCCATGATTTTCGAACGGAACAATTCAGACCCTGTACAGATTTGGGTAATCGTTCGTGTGATCACGCATTGTCTTTTTTTTACTTTGGGTGTTGGTACGTCAGCAATTGTGACTTTGATTAACGTAGAAATAAAGTGTCTCCCGTTGTTGATGAGGGAGAAATGCTCGTAAAATATCGCGGTGTCAGACACACTCCAATGAACTGAATATTTAATGCATGCTGGGATGGTGGTGATGGTGCATTCAGATGTGTGTACAACACATGTTAAAACACTGACTCGCTGTATAAATACATTTTCTCAAACTTCAATCGCCTTCACAATGACACCCCGCATGTATTTTCAGGGCGATTTTGAAAACATTGATTGTGCTTCCTAATTTGTGAAACTGCCCCAACAATCTATGACTATGTAAACCATGCAAAACTAAGTAACCATAATGGACTGTATTTTAAACACGTAAGCAAGTTATACTCCACCTCTTGGTGGGTAATACAGTAGAGTATATTGAAAAGCTGTAGTACATACAGTACCGGTGCACTTAACTGCAATACCAATACCTGCCATTCGTCACCACGGCGCCTGTGCCAAGCTAGGTGCACTTTGAGGCCAAATGTAGTATCGAAGGCTCGCTGACAGGTCACGGGACAGACCAAGGTGGTGCCATGGGTTGATTGACTGAGATGACTGGCAGATGCACCAGCTGTACCCCCTACTGGTGTACAGCAGCCCTTTTTACCCGCGCAGAAACAAAAATCACTCCCTTGGAAAAAAAGGGCTGATGTAAACCAGTTCAGTGCACTTGTATGCACTACAGATTGTCAACACACTGTTATTACCTGCAAAGAGGTGGAGTTGTTGAAAAAACAGTCCATTATGTTCACTTAGTTTTGCATGGTTACGGCTGCTTGATTGGCACGGGTTGGGTTCAGTCAAGTCAGGTCGGGATGGGTCAGGTCAGATAACCTCACCTGTTTGGGTAATTTATAATCCAATCTGGTTGGGTAAATTACAACCTCATCTGGTCGGGCCATTTATGGTCCCATCCCCATTGGAAAATTTACAATCCCATCCGGTTGGGGTCAATTTACAATTACATTTGGTTGGGTTCAATTTACGATCCCCTCCAGTTGGGGTCAGGTTGGGGTCAATTTACGATTCCATCCAGTTGGGGTCAACTTACGATCCAATCCGGTTGGAGTCAATTCACGATCCAATCCAGTTAGAGTCAATTTACGATCAATCCCGGTTGGAGCCATTTTACGATCCAATCCGGTTGGAGTCAATTAACGATACCACCTGGTTGAATTAATTTATGATCACATCCGGTTGGGGTCAATTTACAATCCCATCTGGTTGGGGCTCCATTACGATCCCCACCGGTTGGGGTCAATTTACGATCCCAATGCGAGCAGGTCATTTACGATCCCATCCTGTTGGGTGAGACACGCGGTGCCATCGTCACCTGGTTCGCGCGTTCCCTCTCGCGAGCCCGCAGCTGCAAGACGTCCACGTCTGCCGGGATTCGGAACGGGTTCCCTCGGGGAGGAGGCGCTCCTGTGCCGCCCGCTGCGTAGGCAAACGCACACTGAGACAAAGATCCCCCCCCCCCTCCGTAGAGCCTGTAACAGACTGCTCGGGCAAGTGCTGTCAGCGAGCAGCAGCTATGAAGGGGGGTATGATATGCATGGTCAGCACCACCTCACCCAATCGCCTGTCTGTTGTCCCAGAGGCAATGATTTTACACACCGCACCAGGTACTCATTTGAGGCTGAGTCAACCTAGGAGATGCACAGGACCGATTAAAATAATCGTCACTGGTGGTAGCCGTGTTTGTAGCGCAGCGCGCTAACCGCTACCGCTCCCCACAATATGCACACACACGCGGGCACACGCGTATACAAGCAGGGCTTCATTTCAGCCGGAGCTGTCTGGGGCTGACCTCCGGAAAATATTTCCACCCCTTGACCTGCAACTTAATGAACTTTTGACGAGTGGCGGATCAGAGGGGCGAGGGTGGTCCGGGGGGACCATGAAACATCACCATGGGCCATGGTTACAATCAGAATATCTATTACTGGTAAGAACGAAGTGGACCAGCCTACAATAGATTATATCGTCCGTCCGTACGTCCGATGTCCGATTACGTGTAGCAACATCGCCCCCTACTGCAAACACTTGGCAGGACCCTACAAAAACCTTTAGACTCAGTGGGGCTTTCCTGGCTAAACAAGTGTAATAATACATTATGTTTATATTCTTTGGTTATTCGTTCCTACCCGCCCACCCCGCAGGGTCCTGTTTATCCTGGAGGAGGAATCCGAAGAGCTATAAAGCTCATTTTCACAGATGTCCAGTGGTTTCACGGGTCGTATGGGGCCATTTGACCGTACACTATTTCCCCACGCTGGTGGGTGGGGGTCGGTGAAGGCGGGAATCATCGACGTGGGTTTGCATAAAAGTACGGAAAAAATAATGCATTTTACTAATTAGTGATGCCCTTTGCCCAGGAAAGCGCCATTGCCAATGTGGCTAAATGTGGGAGGAGACTGCAGAAGCTGTATAAACACCCACCGTGCAACGTACAGATGGATTCAATAACACTATGTAACACGATTTTTGTTCCTGGGTAGTAAGTGTTATTTTCTCATTGCTTATGCCTCAAAAATAAAAAAATAAATGGCTGTTAATCCCCACAAACTTTGCTTTTGTGACCACGACTTTATGTGAAGGAATGACACAAATGCAGACGTTTTCTCTTTGAAAATAGGTACATTTCTAAATATCACTGTCCTGGTCACAAAAGCAAAGTTTATGGGGAATAATAGCCATTTTCTGTACTTTTGAGGCATAAACAATTAGAAAATAGTATTCAGGAACAAAAAAAATGTGCGAGTCTATGGGTCTCTGTGTGAGTCCATGGGTCTCTGTATGAGTCTATGGGTTTCTGTGTGAGTCTATGGGTCTCTGTGTGAGTCTATGGTCTCTGTGTGAGTCTATGTGTCTCTGTGTGAGTCTATGTGTCTCTGTGTGAGTCTATGTGTCTGTGTGAGTCTATGTGTCTCTGTGTGAGTGTATGGGTCTCTGTGCGAGTCTATGAGTCTCTGTGTCAGTCTATGTGTCTCTGTGTGAGTCTATGTGTCTCTGTATGAGTGTATGGGTCTCTGTGCGAGTCTATGGGTCTCTGTGTGAGTCTATGTGCCTCTGTGTGAATCTATGGGTCTATGTGTGAGTCTATGTGTCTCTGTGTGAGTCTATGTGTCTCTGTGTGAGTGTATGGGTCTCTGTGCGAGTCTATGGGTCTCTGTGTGAGTCTATGTGCCTCTGTGTGAATCTATGGGTCTCTGTGTGAGTCTATGTGTCTCTGTGTGAGTCTATGTGTCTCTGTGTGAGTCTGGGTCTCTGTGTGAGTCTACGTGTCTCTGTGTGAGTCTATGTGTCTCTGTGTGAGTTTATGGTTCTCTGTGTGAGTCTATGTGTCTCTATGTGAGTCTGGGTCTCTGTGTGAGTCTACGTGTCTCTGTGTGAGTCTATGTGTCTCTGTGTGAGTCTATGGTGCTCTGTGTGAGTCTATGTGTCTCTGTGTGAGTCTATGTGTCTCTGTGTGAGTGTATGGGTCTCTGTGCGAGTCTATGGGTCTCTGTGTCAGTCTATGTGTCTCTGTGTGAGTGTATGGGTCTCGGTGCGAGTCTATGGGTCTCTGTGTCAGTCTATGTGTCTCTGTGTGAGTCTATGTGTCTCTGTGTGAGTCTGGGTCTCTGTGTGAGTCTACGTGTCTCTGTGTGAGTCTATGTGTCTCTGTGTGAGTTTATGGTTCTCTGTGCGAGTCTATGTTTCTCTATGTGAGTCTGGGTCTCTGTGTGAGTCTACGTGTCTCTGTGTGAGTCTATGTGTCTCTGTGTGAGTTTATGGTTCTCTGTGTGAGTCTATGGTGCTCTGTGTGAGTCTATGGTGCTCTGTGTGAGTCTATGGTTCTCTGTGTGAGTCTATGTATTTCGATTTAAAGCTTTTGTGACTGCAGAGATTCATATTCTTGGCTCTTTCGGTAAAGTCACGTAGAAATAAAATAATAAAATAATAAACCGTTTTTTTTATTTTATTCTTTAAACTTCTTTCGCACCGCACGTAGCCAACCGTGCTACTCGGTGGTGCTGGGAAGGACAACAAAATTAAACACAAAAGGAGTTAGTTATTTTAATGATTTTCTGTACCACCACTTGATGGCCACGGCGCGGCCGCCGATGTTCGGTATTCGTCAATTACCTTTCACCCGCACCGCTCCCTCCTTCTCACCCGGAGCGGAGCGACGTGAGGGGCGGCCTGAAGACATGAGGCGACGAGGCCACGGGCCGTGATGAAAAGAGACGAGGTGATGGAGGATGTGATGAAAAACGAGGTTATGATGGTGGTGAGAGACGAGGTGATGGTGGTAAGAGACGAGGTGATGGTGGTGAGAGAAGAGGTGATGGTGGTGAGAGACGAGATGATGGTGGTGGTGAGAGACGAGGTGATTGATGTGATGAGAGACGAGGTGATGGAGGTGAGAGAAGAGGTGATGGTGGTGGTGAGAGACGAGGTGATTGATGTGATGAGAGACGAGGTGATGGAGCAGGTGGTGATGATGATGATGGAGCAGGTGGTGAGAGACGAGGTGATTGTGGTGAGAGACGAGGTGATGGAGGAGCTGCTGGTGATGATGATGGATGCAGCGCTGTCACGCGGCGTCAACACGCGGTTGTCCAGGCAACGCGACTAATAACGCGGTCTCTGATTGGCTGAGGTGAACCCCTTGCGGAGTAAAGTGAACACTGATTGGGCGTCGCGACGGCGTCGCCACGTAAACAATACGGCAAGCGACCAGGGGCACGCACCACGTGTTTCGCGTTTTGAAATCGCGCTCAGCCACTTGGCGGTGTTGTCAGAATCGGTTTAATATACCGCAGGAGGAATCCCGATGAGCTGTAAAGCTCTTGTTCACACATGTTCCAGTGGGGGCCACGGGGTCAGAACGGTACAACAACAAACACGACAGGAGTTGCACATTATACGACAGGTAAAAACTAATCGGATTCCTCCAGTATAAATTATTATTCCGATTTTGAGCTAGGCCACCCTCAACTCGAGGTACTGTGGGTGTCGTGGCTGTCCAGATACCCCTCCCCCAACAGGTTACAAATGGATGAGAAAACATTTGCGCCCCTGGTCACCAGAAAAATTACAAAGATCCCCCCTAAAGTATACACAGGTTGTTGGGTCAGTGCCGTGAGCGAGCAACCTGGTCTGCACACACATAATCACAGTTAGCACACACACAGCACACACAATCACAGTTAACACACACACAGCACACACAATCACAGTTAGCACACACACAATCACAGTTAGCACACACACAGCACACACAATCACAGTTAGCACACACACAGCACACACAATCACAGTTAGCACACACAGCACACACAATCACAGTTAACACACACACAGCACACACAATCACAGTTAACACACACACAGCACACACAATCACAGTTAACACACACACAGCACACACAATCACAGTTAGCACACACAGCACACACAATCACAGTTAACACACACACAGCACACACAATCACAGTTAGCACACACACAGCACACACAATCACAGTTAACACACACACAGCACACACAATCACAGTTAACACACACACAGCACACACAATCACAGTTAGCACACACACAGCACACACAATCACAGTTAGCACACACACAGCACACACAATCACAGTTAACACACACACAGCACACACAATCACAGTTAGCACACACACAGCACACACAATCACAGCACACACAGCACACACAATCACAGTTAACACACAAACAGCACACAATCACAGTTAGCACACACACAGCACACACAATCACAGTTAGCACACACACAGCACACACAATCACAGTTAACACACACACAGCACACACAATCACAGTTAACACACACACAGCACACACAATCACAGTTAGCACACACACAGCACACACAATCACAGTTAGCACACACACAGCACACACAATCACAGTTAACACACACAGCACACACAATCACAGTTAGCACACACACAGACCACACAATCACAGTTAACACACACACAGCACACACAATCACAGTTAACACACACACAGCACACACAATCACAGTTAGCACACACGCACAATTCAGTCAGGAAGCATATATTCACAGCAAAAACACGCAATCGCAATATACATATTCAGAAAGCACACATGCAGTAGTCACCACACACACACATCCATAGAAGTAATAGCTTTGCATAAATTAAAAGTTGTGCATTAATTTAAATGTGAAGCTGAATGCGCTTACCTTGCCCACGGGGCACGTTTTTAGTAATATTGCATCTGTCATCAAAAGGAGTAGCCGCCAGGAATTGTAAGTAGAATATAGTCCAACTTACAAAAGCACTCGACACATTCGTCAGTAGGCAACGTTTCGGGAAATGGCCCTTCATGGCACGCAAAATTTCACAGGGTGGCTGTGCCCCTGCGCTGTGAGATGAAGCGGTGATGTTGATCTCGGATGGCTGCAGGTTTCAATGGAAATATTCCATTTATTGGCACGGGACGAGCAGCTACGAACATTTCGAGATGTATACTAGATGTGGTGTGCTGGTTTCAGAAGTATTTTTAAATCCTTTATATTAAGTTCACTTGCTTGCTTGCTTGCGCGCTTACGACCGTGCAAATCTTTCGGTCGTTTTTTAACCCACTTCCCGTGATCCAATCGAGCTGACATTTTGCACACAGACTCGTTGCACGTGACAATTTATTTTCGTGAAATTTTTTTTCCAAAATTTAACACTTTTTAGGAAAAAATAAATTATATTTAACTACCAATTGCTTAATGGTGGCAGGCATCTCAAGCCAGAGGACGAGAGGACTCTAGCCGCCACGCATATAAAGGATTTATAGTGAAAAACTTAGTTTTTACGGGTTAATTTTTTCCGGGTCGCGGTGGCAAGATGTTAACTCCCTCGCCTGGAATACAGGTCGTGGAATCGATTGTCCATTTGGAATTTGCATGTTCTCTCTCCCAGCCGTCTTGTGGATTTTTCTTTGCGTTCTCCGGTTTTTCACTCCACATTTAGAAACATGTGTTTAGAGTATTTGGCTACTATATATTTTTACATGATCAGCCACTTCATTGGGCTACAATTTGTGGCCAGGTCGCTTCTGAAAAATAACTATGTAGCTCAATGGGCCTTACCTGGTAAAATAATAATAGTTTATAGTTTAGTTTGGTGTGGACTCGAGGACACTTGAAGGGCTCTTCGAGGTAGTTCTGTGATATCCTCTTCCATGGTCCATTCTCTAATCGATGCATGGTGTTGTATCCTAACCCTTCTTCCATAATTGAGATTAATAATATTTGATGATTTTTATATATTATCTTTTTACTTGTTTTTTTAATGATTGAAACACACCAAGCGCAGCAAACTGCAAAACACCAGGTGTTGTTAAGTAATGAACTGGAGGAGGGCTAGGATGGCAGAATTTGCAACCTTGCTTCAAGGAAAGATAAGGCCTGATGAACGGGCACATGTCACCCGTGCAGGCGGCAGAGACAGTGGGAGTGTCAGCCAGACATAGTTAAGGCAAAAAGCCCAACCATCCTGCATGGTTTTAAAGTAACGTCAAAATTCGAAATTCAACAACAGAGTAGGCTAAATTATCGATCCTCGCGCTCGCTCAAATTGGAGACCAGGCTGCGAGCTACATAAATGAACCATTGCCCATTTGCTAATCCAATACTGAATGTTAATATTACTGAAGTCAAAACGAATTCTATGACCTCAGCACATGGGCAAATAATAGGGCAGTGTCGACTCAAAGGCAATGAAAGAAAACAGAGGCGCCTTTGTCTAAATCACAACCACAGAAAGCCAGGACTCATCACTGATTGTGTGTTCAGGGATTCCGAGCTAGTTAGAACACGTGCACAGGGGGGGGGAGCTGATGTAAACAACCCTGCGCGTCTGAATGTGAGGGGGCCTTGGACCTGGAATCAAGAATAACACTTCCAGAGCAGAAGGTTGGACAGGGGGAGAGGTGATTTAAAAGAGTGTTGTATATCTCTCAAGGCGGGCAAGACCCAGCTGAGTAACAAGGCTGCGGGGGTCACCAGAAGTTCGCATTCGCCTAGTTAAGACAAAAAGCTCAATTATTCTGTATTGCTATTAAAGTAACGTTAAAGTCGGAATTTAACAACAGGGTAGGCTAAAGTTATTGATATTCACACCCACTCCAATTAAACCAGGCCACAAGTTACGCCTACTGAACCATCACCATTATTAAGTCAATATGAAATGTTATTTCCATACTTCAATACTTTCTATACAACTCGACCCGAAGCATATGACAATCAGAACCTTCCTAAGTCAAAATTGAATCGCACCCAGACAGGAGCGAATAGTCGATATAAGGTTGACGAGGGAAGGAAATTAAGAGCACGGCGAACTGCAAACGTAAGCAAAAAGCCGGGAACAACACCAGCCCAGCAACAGCGAGTGGGGCTTCGACAGGCCATAAAGTAGAATAATAACTCCCGGGGTCAGGGGACACAAGAAGAAGCAGGCAGACAAAAACCAGAACTGACTCCAAGGTTCAACCGCCCTCACCTACTCAGGAGTGACGGAAATTAATGAGGCCTTGAATTAACGGCAGCTGGACGGCAACAACAACGGCGAGCAGAGATAGGGTGGGGCAAAGACTGCGGGGCTATGGAATGCAACTTCGTGTCAGTAAAGCCCTGACAAACAAGTTAAGTTAAAGACATCACAATACATAATATCGCACATAACATCAATGTTAAAGCTATTCACCGTAAACTATATTCCGCTTATATAACCATCCAGGCACCAAGGAATACGAATTCCTAGGATCAAGAAACTTACCCCTTAACCTAAGATATCGGAAATAAATTAATAGTAATAAGTATATGCATGAAAAGACAAAGTAAAACTTATGGAAAAGCCAGGATAACGGGATGAATCACAACCAGGTCGAATATAATACATAATAAAAAAAAAACGATGTTAAACCCAGGGTCGGAGAGAAAGGGAGATCCCGGCCGTCTTTGTATCCCCGCAGCGCGGGATAGGAGTGTGTATACGCTCGGGGAAACACCTACACTTGAGTCAAGCACCACGATGGGAAACGACAGACCTTAGGTTACATACAGAATCATAACTGTGAAATAGTAAGGGACAAATGTTAACTTAAAACTTTTAACCATTTCTTTGTGCGCCGGGTCGGAGAGAGTGTTGCCCCTCCCTCCAGGTTGTGCAACACGAACAAAGACGCCTATGAGACATTTGTAACGTCTGTGTTTTGGGTTCATGAAGAAGGCCAGACAAGAGATAAATATTGCACCCAGACAGAGAGACGACCTCGAGGCAATTTGTAACATCTGATTGTTTGCTCGTGGGTTTATGGAGGGAGTGTGACAACGAATATACCGTCAGTGATGCACACAAGGACACACGGACATACGGACAGACACATGGACACACCTGCCTACGGACAGATCCTGACACAGCAAAAATCGGAAGAAGCCCCGCCTTGTGGGCGGGATCCAGGGGGATTTTTCGGCATAAAGTAAAGGATCCTGAGCATTGGAAACCAGTGCGACGGGAGGGTCCACTCAGAAGCTCGACCGGGAGGGTCGACTCAGGAACGAGTGCGACGAGAGGGTC